CCACCCAAATGCCCCCCCGAGCACGCAAGCAAGTGCCAGCGACGCTACACTATGGGCCGGCGGAATGAGCGAAGCGATTCAATAAATTACCATTCCATTCCACTCGCCACGTGACAGCGACGCAGCGCGCCGTGAGCGCGGGAAGGAGAGAACGTTCGGACTGACGGGGGACGAGAGAGAAGAGGACGGACCTCCCCCTGGCGCGAAGTGGGAAGACAGGTCTCGACTGCCAGAGGGAGGAATGCCCGGAGCGCGGGGAGGAGAGAGTCTCGACTGCCAGAGGGAAGCGGGGGGGGGGAGGGCGGCGCGCGGGACGGAGAGAGTCTCGAGTGCCAGAGACAGGGCGTGGCGGTGGGGCGTGGCGGTGGGGGGGGGAGCGGGGGGGGGGCGGTGGGGAAGGGGAACGGAAGTGCCCGCGGACGGGGGAGTGCACAGCACTAAATATGCTAGTGAACAGACTGGCACAACAGACTGGGATATTACCTGCACCTGAGGTGAGGTCAAAATTTATCCCTTAGATTGGGCCTCTCTGGACAACTCCTTGACGCGAGTTGGTTCGAACAAGGCAGCCATACGTTGCTCATAGGGGGGGGCCGCATCAGTACTGGAGAAGGAAGTCCTCACCACGGTGGGGGCGTCGCGACCCTTCGCCCCCCCCCTCTTTCCCGTGCTGGGGAAGGGGTGGGCCTTCCCACCCACCCCCCCGCGTCGCGTTCGCTCGGTACCGCCCTATCAAGAATGAACCTAGCGCGACCCCAATTAGGGGAAAGCCTATTGCATGGGCGCATCAATGGGCGCATCGCTGGGCGCATCGCTTGGCATGGGTTGGCATTGCTTGGCATTGATTGGCATTGCTTGGTACTGCCTGAGGCAAGCCGAACTGGGGAGTGAACCCGAAGAGCCCAGGGAACCCGAAGAACCTGGGAAACCCGAGGAACCCTGGGAACCCGAAGAACCTCCGGGAAACAGGCAACCCAACAATCGGAGGCACCGGGGGCGGGGAACCCGAGGAACCCGAAGAACCCCAGGAACCTCCGAGGAACGGGCAAAGTAGCCTCCCGAGGTACCAACCTATAACCAAGTAAGTGATAAGAACCCCTTAGGCAAGCCTAATTGGGGAATCCCGCCAGCCCTCTGGGCGTAGATGATCTAGCGCGTTTCCTCTTCCAACCCCGCCGTCTTCCCCTTCGGGAAAAGGGTTATCATTTTACAACTACATCATATGAATACTACTCGCCTCTCTCCCCTGGCGACGTCCGGAGAATGTTCGGCCCCCCTCCGCGTACTGGTTGTTTACACACAGGATTCCAGGGAAACGGGTTTTCGCTAGTTTTGTTCCATCAATCCTGCTTTCTCTGAGGCGCTGGCCTCATTGTCTGGCTACCGCTTGTTCCGAATCGTGCTCCCGCTGTAGCGCTGGCCTCGTTTCCGCGCTTCCGCTTGTTCCGAATCGTGCTCCCGCTGCAGCGCTGGCGTCATTACTTCCAGCGCCATGCCACGGCATGGTTTTGAGTACTTTCAAGTAGGCCCCAACATCTAAAAAAATGGTCCCCTGAAAAACATTCGGAAGTGATCACACATTCGGTGTATATTCACTAATTTTCTGGGTCGCAGTAGCCCCCTCCCACTTTGGGGCGTCACCACGCCATGCGATGTCAAACTACGCGTCCTTTGAATCGTGCTCCCGCTGCACCGCTGGCCTGACTTCCCCGCTTCCGCTCGTTCCGAATCGTGCTCCCGCTGCAACACTGGCGTCATTTTTTTTCCAGCGCCATGTCACGGCATGGTGTTCGGTCCGTCTAAATATGCCCCAGAAACTAGAACACGACCCCTCGAAACAACCATCGGAAGTGATTACACATTCGATGTCGAGTCGTTGATTCTTTGGACTGCAGATCCCCCCCTTGGGGGCGTCGCCACGCCATGCTATGTCAGGCTACGCATTGATCTTCAACACCATGCTATGCCGTGTGATGCTATGCCCTGCTACGACATCCGACTGTGCGAATAGAGAGATCTGCGCCATGGTAAGGGATGGGAGGGAGGGGTAGGACGTCAGATATGGCACGAGCGCACCTAGCTTGTCCTTACCCCCTCCCCTGGACCTGGAGGGGTGGGGTCGCGGGTCGTTGGAGCGTCCAAAATGGCCCAAGACGGCTCTAGGAGAGCCTCATAGAGCCCAAGACGACTTCCAAGATGGTTCAAGATAGCCCAAGATAGCTCGATATGGCTCCCACGATGCTCCCAAAGGCCCCAATACCGCTCCAAGACGGCTCCGAGTGGCCACAGAGCCCGCCCCCATGAGAACGCCGTGAGCCCCATGAGTCCTTACACAAAAACCTAGGCGAAATCCGTGAATTGTGCCTTCTCGATTTTTCGCTTCCGATGGTCTTCCGAGGCCTCAAGATAGCTCCAAGAGGGCCCATGAGGGCCCAAAGAGAGGCCCATGAGGGCCCAACGACGGCCCCCAAAGCGCCAAAGATCGCCCCAAGATGGGCCCAAGAGGCGATGTTTGGGGCTCCCTAGGGGGGATGTGATAAGAGCTCCCATCTTTTGTGATCGATTTCCTCCGAGATGGGCCCAAGAGCGCTCCCAAGGCTCCTAAGAGCGCCTCAAGAGGGGCCCAAGGCGCCCAGGAGGCCCCAGAAGGCGCCCAAGAGGCCTCCAAGAGGCTCCCAAGACATCCCCGAGAGGCCCCAAGAGACCTTCAAAAACCTGAAGAACATCAATAAGTTGTACCTTCTCGCCTATTTGTTGTCGATGGCCTTCCAGGGCCTCAGGATGGCTCCAAGATGACCCGAGGGCCCCACGAGAGGCCCACGAGAGCCCCAAGAGCGCCCAAGAGTGTCCCAAGAGCTCTCCGAGAGGGACCCTTCCTCTGTGTGCTGCCCACTTCCCTGATCGAGGCAACTACTCTGAGCATCGTCTCTCTGGATGGACTGGTGGGGTTACTTTGTTCCTCGCGGGCGCAAGCGAAAGCGCAGGCGCCGAGTTGAGCTGGTGGGGTTACTTTTTTGGTCGCGGCCACGAGACAAAGGTCAGGCGGCAAGAAGCAAAGTCCGGGGCTGGTGGGGTTACTTTTTTTTACAGCCGCAGGCGGAAGCGCCAGCGGCGGCGGGTAACGGTCGGGCTGCGGCCGCTACAAATTGGCCGGAGGCGCGCGGGAACCGCGGCCGGCCTGGTGGGGTTACGCGAAGCGTCAAGAATAATGACGTCGGGGGTCTGGGTCCACTTCGCCAATCTGGTCATAGACAACCAGGAGCACACACCCGCGTGGCATCGGTATTACCAAATATCCGAACCGTATGGGAAGGCCGTCCGCTGTCGCAGAGTCGACCGATGCTGGGCCCCTCATGGGGCGCGCTACAGACTTCGAGAGGCGGATCATGCCATGGCGACGATGGACACCATCACGACTCCAGGACTCCGACGTCGCTTTCTTGTTCGCAAGAGAAGCAGCATCGACAATGCCACGCTGGTAGGACGACAGCATCAGCACGTGCTACTGCTGAAAAACATCCAGGTGTGCACTGAGCGGATGAGTAACACGCACACTTTGAGAGACAACGCGCATGTCACTGATACTCTTCCCCCCCGAAACATTTGAGCAGGCACCGACCATCTTGGCATTCCTATAGTCCTACCACGTAATGTTTTTAGAACCCAAAAATGTTATAAGAACAAAAAGGATGTTCTTAGAACCTAAACCCGATGTGTTAAAACAAGACAATCTCAACCAGAAATGTTCTAAGAACATTTCGTGGGAACCACAAACGGTTATTAGAACATTGTTTGGTAGGGCGATGGGCGAGCCAGGACGCTTCACCACTGCTTGAAACATGGACCCTGGAGGTCTCGACCCCCTCCCCTGAACTGGCTCTGCAGCAGGAGCTGCTTCTGGACGCTCCGTGGGCCAGGTCGCGGCGCCCCTGGGCGCCCGAGGATGGTCAAGATCCTTCCGTCGTGACTGCTTCGCGACGCGGGGCGGTCTGGGAAGACGGGGGTCCTCCTCCGACCAGGAGGGGCCCGATGTGTACGCCACGCCGTTTGGCCGGCCAAGGAGCTCGGTGTATAGACGCCCCATCTGCCCAACCTGTGGGACGCCGGGGCGCATATACACCACATTCCAGCGCCGAGCTCACTGGCTCCTGAGGCCGACGAAACGACGTGGTGTACACATCCAGCCCCTCCTCCGACGCCGCAGCTTGTTCGTGACATGGGCCCCCCGCGGAACTCGACCACTTCTCGGGGCCAGCTTTGCCAAAGCACTGGTGGGGCTCGATGCCTTTGTCACGAGTGCAGAGAGCGCTCAGCACTCCATCGCCATCGTCATCGTCATCGTCATCATCGCATCGGGGCAGGCCCCCCCAAGCGCGAGGCAAATGCCGCCCGATTCGGCGACGCCTCGCGCCGATCCTGCACAGAAGAGCGGGGCCCGTCGCCCATCATCCGCTCGCCTGGCGGGCCTGCTCGAGGGCCACAGCTAGGGGCGGGCTGGCTCAGGGGACTCAGTCATTTGTCTGGAGGAGGAGGAGGAGGAGGAGGAGGAGGAGGACGAGGCGATGCACCGCCGATGTGTGGGCGATGGGCCGCTGGTCGAGCCCGCACGCTCCTGGGCGGGCTGCGCCGTGGGGCCCCTCTCGGCGACGAGCGGGCCGTTGGTGGTCGATACAGTCCCCCCCCGCCCGAGCCTGTTCGGGCGTTGGTAAAACTGGGTTTAATGGAACCTGATTTAGTCATCTGTACCGGGGGCGCCCCCCCGTCCCATTTCCACTAACCGGAACTGCCGTCACCCGAAAAAACACCAGCTATGGCAAACCTGGCTGAGTGATTCTGGCCAATTAACAGGCTCCGGGGCCCTACCACTAACCGGGTCCCCTTACCCGGGTCCTGGCCATACCCGACATGTCCCCCCCTACCGTCGCCCAGGAAGGAGGGAGGACCGGCAGGACAGGAGGTGCTCGACTCCTTCGCTGTCCCCGGGGGGAGTTCCCGCGCGCCTGCGGGCCGTCCCACGGCCGCGCGCTGAAGTCGCCGCACGGCACCTCGCGCGGACGGAGAGGCGCGCCGGGAAGGGCGGTCGGAGGGGAAGCGTGGCGGCCACCGCCACCGAGAAAGCACCAGGGGGGGCAGCCCCTAAGCTTACGTCGGGCCTGTCCTTCTACAAGGGGATTTGGGGCGAAAAATAAAACATAGACGCAAAATACCCCGGGATGGTCCAAAAATACTCAAAACATCGTCCCAAGAGTATTTGTTAACTATTTTTGAATATTCCTCCAGTAGAGGGACAGGCCCGACTTAACCCTAAGCGGTGGCACGCCAAAGTATCACTGGATACAGGACGACGCTCAGAAATGCAAGCGCCCAGGACTTCGGTTCCCCCCCTCCACGCTTCCCCTCTTGAGGTCAGGGAGGGGGGGAGTCGGGGGGGGGGCCTAAGGACACGCGAAGAATATCAAAATCCTCTTCCTCCTCCACCCGCCTGTAACCTGGAATTAACGGCAAGTCTGAGCCATCGGCTACCGTGAAACAAAAAACTGTCATCGGCCTTCCAGCCTGGCTTTCTATAACCAGCCTGGAGCACCCCACTATCCCTGAAATCGGCGGTGCTAGGGATGCACCCTCCGGAAGTGCGAGAGACCTCAAGACCGACGCCAAGACAAGTTGATACAAACCGTGGGGATAGGGACATCCTCCAGGACGGTGACGGTCTACTTTTTAGGGCCGCGGGGAGGCCAAACATCCTCCGTCGCAATTGGTTCACAACGTGGCTCCCCAGGGGTGTCGATTCCTTCCCCGGGACTGGCTTGTCATCCTGAGTGGATCTTTGAGTGTCCTGGATCCGGGCGAAGGGCCCCCGGCGGCCGACAAACAAGGGCAAGATTCCCGCCGTGATTTTTGTTCACGGCGCCGCTGCTCCCCCCGCACCGTTCCCGGGGTGCGTTCCGACTGGGACTTCGAGGCGCATCTGGCCGTGGCGACGAGGGCCTCCCAGGAGGCCCAAACAGGCAAGAACGAGGGAGTGGTAGGGGCATTGGTGCTTGGATGACCGCGGCGGGGGGGTGCTAAGGGGACAGGGGGGTTGGAAGCGGATGCCGAATTGGGCTATATTGAGACAACAACTCCGTGAATTTGGTTCCGCCCATTTAGGAAACATCTGCACCCCCACGATAATCCACCTAGACCACCTGTGACCCACTGATAAGCCGGGTAGGCCAGACACATTCCACCTTGGCATCCGCTTCTGTACCTACTATCCTATCCCCCCCCGCCAACCCTTGCGGTAATCTCAATATTCAAGGGCCCCCAAATAGGGTCGGAGTAGACGGGGTCGGAGGATCGCGCCGCACCGCCTATGTATCACCGATGCATCGGCAATATATTCGCGACGTCAGCGATGCATCGGCGGCAGTCGGCGCAGAAAAAATCGGGATCCACATCGAGCCGCATCGCCGATGCAACGGCGATGCGGCGCGATCCGCCGACCCCATCTACTCGGACTCTGCATGAAAGGCCTAGCGCAATAAAACAAAAGATAAACATAACCCAAGGGCGGTCCCCGCGAAGTTGTTGGATCCGCGCTGTGCACGGGGGCGGCGCCGGAGGAGCCGCCTAGGGGCTCCTAGTCTAGAAATGCGCGAAGACCTCCGACAGTTTATACTTATGTTGTGTATTTTGTTTTTCGAGCGCCGCCCGTCTGAAATTGCCCCTCCTTGTCGACGGCAGGTCCGTATCGTGACGATCCCAGCGCTGGTCTCGGACAACGCGTGGGTCCTTCAACCTTGAACGATCGGGGGACTCTGGAGCCGCCGAATCGTTCCATGTTAGCCGTTTCTGGACTGCTAGCAACGTTCAAACTCGAACGCCCGCGGCTGGGTCGCCGCCGCGTCGACACGACACGAACTGGCCGCATCGTCATCAAAGGGAGGGGGTCAAAACCCTCCCAGGTGAGCAGTTTCAGATCCCCCCCAGACTAGCCATGGAAAGGCGGTTGTGTGCCCAGACCCCACTGAAACCCTAAAACACAGCTCGAATGTAGCCCCTCCCAAGTCAGACCACCCTCCTTTTACTGTGAAACCTGGAGTACCTCCTCCTCCTCGATGGGCAGATGGCGCCTCGAGGGCCACCACACTCAACACGCCGCTTCAAAAGGTTAATGCGAGTTGGAAGCCCGTTCGCCGAAAGTAGCGACGGGCAACACGGCGGAGCGCACGGGACCCAGGGAAGAAGGCATACCGTGGAGGCCAGCGCACAAGAAACCTTGCGCAAGAAACCCAACCCTGAGATCCCAGGGCGTCCATTGATTTTTGGTGTGGGAACGTCGCGCTGTCCATCGCAAAACCATCGAAACCCAAGAAAACCAGTGCATCCTGGAGGCAGGCAGGGTGTTTCTTGTCATGAGTCCTCACTGTACCAATTCCTCCCTTCCCCCGTGCCCATGCTCAGGCCTCACGTGCCAGCTCGCCTTCGTCCAGCACGGCGCCGGGGCCCCCGGCGTCCGGCGGCCCGCGGCTGCCAGGCGTCGCCCCATGGGGCACGCCGAGCGCCGGCAGGTACTCTGCCTTTCGGTCGTCGTCGATTTTCGTCGAGCTTCGTCGTCGTCGTCGGTATCGTCGTCATCGTCGGGGCGCCGTCGCCGTCGCCGTCGCCGTCACCGTCGCCGTCGCTGTCGTCGTCGTCATCGTCAGCGTCGGCGTCTTCGTCATCGTCGTCGTCTTCGTCCGTCGTCGTCGTCATCGTCGTCGCCCGCTTTCGTCCTACATCGTCGTCGTCGTCGCCGTCGTCGCGTCGTCGCTGCCGTCTTCGTCGTCCCTCGTCGTCGTCGACGTTGTCGTCGGCGTCGGCGCCATCGTCGTCGACTTCCTGTCGCGTACCACGTGGCTCCAACCGAGCATCGGGTAGCTAGCTCTCCGAGGCTGCGTTAAGCCGGAGTTTCATCCTGCGGCCGCGGTCCTCCCAGCTGTCGTCCCCGCGCGAAATCCACCCCGCCATGCGGCGCAGCATGCGTCGCTGCGCAACGTCCAAACGACGGCCCAGAGACTCCGTCAGCGGGCAGGTGTCGAGGGAGTAGCACACAGTTCAGTTGATGTAACAATTGCTTCAAACAGCTTGAACCGAAGAAATGCTGACACGCTAATTCATCAGCACGTACTGAAAAAACAAACACTGAACTTCATCCAGGCGCAGCCGATTCGGTGCTCGACAGCCGCATGGCCACGCTTCTTCAAATCGACTGTAAAGCACCTGCCGAGGTACTTGTGCTTGGAGTCCAGGCGTAGTGTGTCTATGGCGCCGCATTCTGCGATCACCTGCGCAAGCCTGCTAAACGGGCTCCGTCCATAAACTTTGTCTTTTTCACGTTCAGCTTCAAGCCAAAACGGCCCAGCGTAACTGACAGCGATTCGAGCATGGACGCGTCCTCGTCCAATGGCTGCGCGAATAACGATATGTCATCCGCGTAGCGAATGTTCGCCAGCCGAGCTTCACGTGGGTCTGGAGTCAGAGCGAAACCCTCTGTGGTCAGCCCGGATTAGCAACTCTCGATTGCCGCCTCCATTGCCGCATTGATCAGAACGGGCCTGAGCACGTCGCCTTGTCGGACTCCTCGCTCGATGTGAAAACGTCGCTCCTCGTGCCAAATCTGCCATCATCCAGCATTTGGAGCAAAGATACACATTCGCCCAAGCCTTATTGTTCCAGCGAACGGAACAAGGCGTCATGTTCCACACGGTCGAAAGCTTTTTCACATCAATGCCCGCCACCCAGACAGGAACGTGCCACTTGATCCCCTTCGAGATCACAGACTCGAGCACGGCAAGGGCATGCAGCGTGGCGCGCGCAGGCCGGAAACCGAATTGATCTTCCGATTGTTGGGAGTCGAGGCGCCCCCTTATCCAGTCGCACACGGTCCTCGCGAAGGTGTTGTATGTCATGCTCAGAATCGCGATGGGCCTCCAATTGCTCAGGCCCTCCGCGTTTCCCCCCGTGCAACAGCGAGAAGCAAATCGCATTCCAACTGTCCGGAATAGCAGATCCACCCAGTATATTATTGAGCATGCCCGTCAATCGCTGAGTCGCGCCCTCACTGGCGCCCGCAAACACCTCCAGCGCGACCCCGTCCTGATCGGAGCATTTTTTCATTGCCACTTTGGATGTGGTCTTGCGCGCTTGTCTCTGTGAAGTGAGGCGCCCTGCATTCCACGGCGCACTGCGGGGACGTGAACGTGGAATCAACTTGCGCCAGATGCTCTGCGCACGTTGCCATGTCTGGACGCACGGTACACGTGCGTTTTATGGGATACATGTGAACTCTTGCCAGAGCATCGAGACTGGAGAACTCTTGAAGACGTTCCTTGGCTTGCTGGGTTCTCCGCGCCCTCAACTGAACATGATAATGCCTGAAAAGTGCCCGAGACAGGAGCCGCCTCCCACTTGAACTTGATGCACGTTGCCTTCGCCACCTGAACTCTTTGAAATGTTGCGTATCCCGCGGCCGCGCGGCACACCCTCTGGGGGCACACTCAACAAGCTTGGACTCCAGCCCGGGCAACTTCTGGGCGTCATTGGCACCGCTGCAACGAACAGCCTGCGAAAACCACCCCGACCCCACACGTTGTAAATTTCGCCGTCTTTTCAACCATGTTCTCGTGGGTGACGTTATGGAGACACGGCAATACACAGGCCGATGATAGGATCCCAAATCTAAGAATGAGCCTGGCGAAACATGCGTGACAGAGAGACCAGAAGTCACTAAACAATTATCAATTGTTCGCTTTTGCCCTAAGGGGCCCTTGAAAGTCCATGCGTATCCCGGGTCCATCTGATCTGGGTGATTGCAGATATTCAACCCAAGCTCTGTTGAGGCCTCTTGCAAAGAATCTCCACGCCAACCCCGGTCTTTCTCTGACTTGAAGCCACCTCCCAAAAAGCATCTCATCCAATGGCGATGAGCGTCGCAGACAGCAGCACAAACGTCACCCCGGCAATCTTCAAAATATGCCCGGTCATACCCAGCACGGGGCATGCATATTGCAAACAGCCTGTACGAACAATTGAACATAGCCAGGTCCACACATAGAGTTCGATCAGAAATCCTATTGTACCCAAAATCTGTTGGCACCCATCTTTGACGAATTAAAACAGCAACGCCTGAACATCCGAGTTCCCCAAGGCTGCAAATCAGTGCGTCCACCTGCCAAAATACAGTCGCTATTCGGGCTCCGGGTTTCTCTGAAACACATTGCATCCCAATGTATTTCCGCAGCTTCCCCAAGCAACTGCGACAAGCGAACATCTCCTGGAATTCGTGAGTTTGTCGCAAGAAAGGAGAACATGTCATTGCAAGTGTGGGTGTTACATGCGCTGTTCGATCGGTGGTGTCCCTACTCTCGGGATTTGGCCTTCCACTTGCCGCCTACTTTGCCAGCTCCTTTGGAGGCGGCGTTCACGAGTTTGTCGCTCAACCTCGACCAGAGGTCGGGGAAGTCCTGGTGCGCGGCGTCCTTGAGCCGTACTTCCCAACCAGGGCCGTATTCTACTTTGAGCGCCCTCTCGTCGATGAATGCCTGGGCCTCCACATCATCGCTCAGCCACACCTTCCACACCTTGGGATCAGCCCAAACTGCTGTCGCATCGTACCCCCAGTTCTTGAAGAGGTACTTCAGTCCGAACGCGAAGGAATTGAGGACTTTCTGTTCCAAGGGCTGGTCCAGCTTCGCCCACACACGGTCGCCCCCCTCCCAGAAAGATTCCTTTTTTCTGAAATATCTTGACGGCCTCGTCGCGGTCCCCGGTATTCGAGAACTTGGCAAAAAAACACTCCCCGAAAATCATTGTTCAAATATGCTTCAACCGGTTGCGGGCCATACGCGTCCCACATCATCGTTTTCATCCATGCCTGCACTTCGTCCAGCCTGGCCAAGGTCTGCAGCCCGCCGATCACGAGCGTCTTCGCCATGTCGGAGCTCACGGGACTCACGGGGCCGGCCGTCTTCAGCACTGAGCTCTCCACCTCCAACGCTCTGATCTGGCCCGAAAATTCCTTGGCGCTCTGGTCGGATCGGGGCGCCCCGCGCGTCTCGACGCTGTTTTCGATGCTCTTGAGGCGCATCTCCGAGTCCTCCATCCTCTCCTCCATGCCCCCGACCCTCTCCTGCACCGAACTCGTCCGTGACCCTAGCGCGCTCCAAATGATCAAAACGGTTGCCGAGCTTGACGATCGCTGCCCGGAGTGGCCGAATCTCCTGCCTGAAAAGCTTCGCGATATCTTCGAGTGCTGGCGGACGTGCGGCCGGACGTGCATCCGCAGGTGTATCTGGGGTCGCTATGTCGTGTACCTCCACGCTGTGGGTACATCGTCGTCCATCTCGTGCTGTGTAACACCATTATCACCATCAGCATCACCATCAGCATCATCACTAAAAAACCCACGCTACCGACAGCCATAACATAATCCCGACGATGATACTGAACGTCTTTGCCACTAGATTCCTTGCTGGCTGCGTGGGCCATCGCCAGGCGGGACGTATACGTTCTGGGCCCGAAGGCGATTAGAGTAACAAAACGGCATGAACATAAACTCTCGAGGGTCCGCGCGGACCTCTTGGATGCGCGCTGGACCCCCCTCTCTGGCGCGCGGAGCTAGCCAGCAGTAGCGCCGGAGGCACCGCCACGGGGCCCAGCGCTGATCCCAAGAGATCCGCGCGGAGCCCTCAAAACTTATGTGTGTGTGCAAAGTTCTCTTCATCGAGGGACGTGTACGCTTCGGTGCCGAGAGATGGGGATGCGTCGACGTGTGATGGCCAGAGGCGGCTCGATCCGAGAGGCCTGCGAGACGGGGAGGCCGCCGGCGGACGTGGGGGCTCCACGACGCCTGCGGCGGCCATGTAGAGGCTGCGGAGGTCGAGGCTCTCAGGGTGTCTGGCCTTGGAGGGCTCGAGTTTTCTGCTCCAGGCGGGAGAAGATGGGAGCGAGCAAGAAGCGCCCACAGCTGGTGCCTGAACGCGGATGCCGCCACACACCGAAAAGGCGAACTTGGAGACGTCGAGATCGCTTCGGGGAGGTCCCGGGAGGGCTGGAGTGGCTCGAGCCCTGTGCACCTGCCAGGGCCTTGTGGACTCGTGGAGCCGAGGAGAAGACTTTGATCGGACATGTCCGCCTACAGGCGGATTTTGGACGAAAACTAAAAACAGACTCGACAAGTTTTAGAAAATTGCTCAAAATGCGCAAAAATCGTCCACGTACTATTGTATCACTATGTTTGAATATTCCTCCTGTAGAGGGACACGCCCGACTTAAGCAGAGACGGACGAGGACGGGAAGAATCGCGTGGGGGAGGGCGGAGCGAGCGCAGGCAAGAGAGAAGAGACAGGGTAGAAGACGGCAGGGCGGAAACGAGAAGGAGAAGTAGGGAGGATGGCAGAGTACAATTGAGGACAGTCCACAGGAAGCCTTCCACAAGAAACCCAACACCCTGAGACCCCAGGGCGGCCCTTGATTCC